CACACACACACACACACACACACACACACACACACACACAGAGAGAGAGAGCGAGAGAGAGAGAGAGAGAGAGAGAGAGAGAGAGCCTCGCTGCGCTCTGTCGAAATGTGCCAAACGAGAGTGAATCTTTGCTAGAACATGGAAAGATACACCGCCAGGATGTCTTTTGTGTATGTCGAGACCATGACGCCCGCAGTCTCGGCAGGCTGCGCGGAGCACCCCGCACAGGCCGCCGAGACTCTCTCTCTCTCTCTCTCTCTGTCGCGCCCGCACAATTCAGGTTTTATCAAATTTGTTTGTTTTGTTTTGTTTTGTTTTGTTTTGTTTTGTTTTTTTTGTTTTTTCTTTGTTTTTTTTTTTTGAAGCGACCGGGAGTTGGCGTGCCCGACCCCCGAAAGTCGCGGCGCATTAACAGCCGCGACTTCGAAAAAACAACGGGGAGGTACTGGTGGTTTAAGAGTGTTCGTACACAAGTACATACTGTAGTTGGAGTTCTTCGTTACAAGGACTACTTGGAGTTGCACTCCAAACTTGCTTGCAACATGCATACATGAACAAACCGATGGCAAACCAACTTCTCCAATTCAGAATCAACAACGAACTTGCATTTAAAACTCAGTTCAAGTCAACTGTGCAACTTGCGGCTATGGCCGCCTAACACTGTCTTCACCACCAGCCTCACTCTCCCTCATGTACACATGTACAGGGATCTACCATGAATGTCCATGCTACACAGACACACACACTCTGTACACTCTGTCTGTGACAACAGCTGGGCGGCTATGGCCGCCATCGTCTTCCTCTTAGCTATGGCCGCCGCGGTCTTCCTCCTGGCCAGCTATGGCCGTCGTCTTCCTCACTGCCCACTTCAGCTCCGGGCACCTGCAGACCTCCACGCACAAGTCACCAATACAGCGCTTCCGCATAGCTCACAGGCGAATGAATGAATGGTTCGTCGCTGCCTCTTTATTTATACTCCTCCGCAGGTGGCCTGTGTGGAACCTGTGGGAAACCGCGTGGGACACTCACCACTTGCCTGGCACTTGCTGACTGGGCGCGGCTGAGACAGCCCTACGACTTTCTAGAACCTACAGACTTGACCTTTCACCACTGCTAAGACTACGAACTGACTGACCCTTGGACCTACGAAGGGACAGGTAGAGAGTTCCAGAAGGCCTAAACTATACCCAATGGTATGTACAGGGTTCAGGCACAGGTCTAGGGATCGGATCTCAGTGTCTGCAAATGTCTGGTCAACTGGGTGAAACCTTTTCACAATAGTTGCAGCTTTCTTAGGGCATACTCGCAATAGGCCTTATATATGGACATAATAACGGTCAGATGCAACCAGATCTCGCTCTAAATGCGGCCAGATACAGGGACTGTGAAAGGTAGTCGGACATGAGCACGTCCTATAGTTTGGATGAATGGCTTGGATGCACAGAGAGAGAGAGAGAGAGAGAGAGAGAGAGAGAGAGAGAGAGAGAGAGAGAGAGAGAGAGAGAGAGAGTTTTCTGTGTGCTTTCAATTCAATTCAATGAACCTTGACAAAAGAAAAAGCTTTACACGCGACCGAGTTTTCCCAATTCCCTAGATGCTTTCTCTTCCCTTCCAGCAAACATTCACATTAGTACACTTTTCGTTGTTGTTTGCATCAGGTTAGCTCCTAGCAACGGAGTTGTTTTACTCCTGCTTCCGACGTGTTGTCTGTTAATGTTGTTTTACTCCTGCTTCCGACATGTTGTCTGTTAATGTTCGATAACTGTCGTGCTCGCAGCGTGGCTGTGCTTGTAAACATGAATACATCAACGTTATCACTAAAAATGTAATACTAACAATCAAAATTCCAATGCACTCATTCATCATTCGGTTCTGATTTATTGAAACAACAGGTAGGTTTATTACACCATCTATGAAAAAGGACGACCGTTCAAGAATATAAACATAAATATTAAATATACAACATGATCACTGAATACCTGGAGAAGGGGTATCACAGAGATATCCCCATTGCGCCATTAACGGTCGCTGTTACCAGCGGGATATCTTACGAAGGAGTCTTGCGAACGAGGACAATACTTCAAACCCTGTTAACTACAAAATGCGAAGACTGCAGATGCGTTTTGGAACAGTGAAGCCTCTATTGTTCATGAACAGCCTCTATTATTCAGTCGCCAGATGTCATTTCCAGGGATCAACTGAACCATGCAAGTGAGCATAGACTGAACTTGCTGACAGTGTGAATGTAACAATTGATCAGCACATCCCCTTTGACGGAACAATGCCAGGGCTACCCCCTTCGGAAACCGAGAGGAGAAAGAAGGAAAGGAATACATCGTCCTCACCTGATAGGCAATGAGCCCAAGATTGCTCCACTACAGTTCAGGGCAGCCATTGCGCTCTCCGCCTGCAGCACACACGTTTGAGAACAAGAACATCAGACACTGAAGTCAGGAGCATCGATCAAGACTGCTTGCGAAGGAAACAACTTTTTCAACTCTAAACAGCCATACGTCATACCCTTGACGAGCAGGGTCCCCTGGGGCCATGTAACTGTCCATCATGTGCAAACGGCCGTGTGGACCAAAGCACTGGCCAACTCTCCAGAGACTCTCCCGAACCCTCCTGGGGAGCCTTACTTCCAGCCCTCAGAAATCACCCCATCAGCCCTCAATCGCCAACAGACCTCACAAATACCCCCCCTAACCATCTCTGATGTAACAGTAATGGTTAATAGGCGGTGTCATTTTCGGCGAATTTTTCACCGAAACTGCCATATCTACCTGAATTTAAACTTTTTTCTTGTTTCCTTGTTTTTTCTGTCATGTGATGACCCGACCAAACACGGAGTGAGACACACAGCTGATTTCTGAGTTTTGCTCATAGACTGAATGCCTTGCTGAGTTTCCCGCTTGCTACTAAGTTCTGCATGTCTGTTGCATACTCGTGAAACACAGTCATAAGTATGGCGCATATTCCCAGAACGGACCAGATAATACAGAGTTAATACAAATACATGAGATACAAGGACTGACTCTGACCTGACTCGGACTGCAATCGACCACTCTCAATCATACATCAGGGGTGTGAAAGCCCTGACCTTGGACATAGATGAAAGTCCAGGGTCTAAGATCATCCACGGACGAATGGAGAGAGGAGAGAGACAAAGGGAGGAGGAGAGGGAAGATGACGTCAACTCAATGTTTCCAAAGATAGTATCTTGAAATGTCAGAGGTAGCGAAAATCCGAAATGTCGCGAACACATTGTCTCACAATGTCTCAGATCTCGATCTCACAATGTCAAGTACATCTCCAGAGGAAGATGACATCAGATCCCATGAGTAGTCCTCAACCGATAGTCCCAATGTGGCTGTCTCTAATGTCATCAGAATTCGTAACCATCCTTCGTACTGGTAGTAGTCCCATAGGAGAACCCAGGAGTAGACTTAGACTGTCAGCGAGGTCGAAGGTAGGAGGAGAGAGAGAGAGAGAGAGAGAGAGAGAGAGAGAGAGAGAGAGAGAGGCGGAGGAAGAGGAGGGAGGGAAGGCAAGACCTTCCTCCCTGGTACCTGGTTGGTAGCTATGGCGCTGCAGCAGGCTGGCGCTGGGCCGCGGGCTGGGCCGGTGGCTGGCGCTGTTCCAATGGCTGCGGTAATCCTTCCTCTCCGTGGTGCTCAATCTCTCCTCGCTGCTCATACTAACTCTGCTGCGCTGCGCTAATCCCGCTAACGCTGAAATGTTGCGCTAATCCTGAAGACTAACGCGAAGCCTAACCTCCTGTCCACTCTAACCTACCGACTGAGGCTGGTACCCAGCTGATATAGTGCTGGGTCGGCCTCAGTCCTACTGAGGTCCTTCGGTCTGGACCGTTGATCAGGCCCAACGGTTCAGATCCGATTTCGGAATCTGAAACTGGGCGCCAAACTGCGCCGCCGGCTGGGCCTACCGATGAACCGGTACCTGGCCTAAAACTAGCCATTGGGTCTGGTGGGGTCTAAACGAGGCCTGCCAGACTCTAAACCTGGACCTAAACTGGGCCACACGTGACCCTGAACCGTGCCTGCTACAGAACCGGGCCCTAACTGGGGCCCGTGTGGTATCAGTATGCCACACACTTCCCCCCTTGAAGGACTGAGCTAACTGTGAGGGCGAAGCTGTCTGTCCGATGTCCGTATGGGGCGGGCAGGTTGGGCAGCTTCCTTCGCAAGTCGCTGTTTTCGTAATGCGCGAAGATGAGGGGTGCTGTTGCCTTCAGGTCAGCTCGTGAAATCCAGCGTGTGTCGTCAGGATCGCATTGCTTGAATGTAACTTTGTACTGCATTGGCTTGGTGCCATGCTTGTGACGAGTGAGAATGCGGTTGACCTCTTGGTGACCATCCACTGAAGGAGGGGCGTGTTACCGTCTGCCCGGGAAGTCTGCTGAGGCTGGAATGTAGACCGCCAGCTTTGAAGCGTGAAATATTGGGTGGACCGTTCTCAGTGCGAATACCTGACAAGGGTATCCGCCCTGGGTTTTGCAAGTGGCAGGAAGTAAGTTTAAAAGTCTAAGTGTACCGCGCGTCGCGGCCAAGTCTGTTGGGTTACATTGATAGGATGGTTGACTAGAGTAGAGCGTGAGTGGGTGTGCAGTCTTAAGGCGCGCGTGCGATTCCTCCGTTTGATCAAGTAGCCGGCTTAGTTGGCCGGCCTGACTTTTTTTGTTGTTATTAGGAATAAAAGTTTAGTTTTTATTTCAGGACGGTTGACCGCTGGTAGGCCGACGTACGGGGTCGGGCACAAGGTAGTCATGGCGCGAGAGGGAAAGCCAACGCGGAGGCCTAGTGACAGCGTGCTTTGTTAGAAGAAGGGATGAGGGCCGGGCTATTTTCCTAGGCCTGGGGGCTGTGCAGCAACCGTTTATATAGGATACCGCGCGCATTGGTCCCAGGCTTGGGCTTAGCCCTGTAGGTTACGGTACTGGACTTACACGGTGGAGATGCGGGGATCAAGACCAGTCGGCGGCAGCATGGGAACGGTGGAGAAGGGTTGAGGGCCCGATGGGGCTATCCCCTTCAGTTTTGCTGACAAGTGTAGCGACAGGCCCGACCCACGGGGATGGCAAAGTGCCAGTGGTCCATGGTATTCCCTTTTAATTTTCTGAATATTTTGCTTTTATCGTCCCGTCCCCTCTGGGGCTCGGTACCATAGCTGGGGTACTACCCAAGAGTCTAGCTCAGTAGGTACACCCATGAATTGTTGGAATACAAACCCGAGCCCGAACCCAGATGGTGGAACTTGATGAATAAAACCCAGCAATTTGAGTTGCCGGGACCACTCAGGCCTTGGTGGCACTGCGGGGCATTGCCCTAGCCGGAGACCTTCGGGACCCCGCTAAAACTAGAATGTTACAAGGAAGATTAGCATGGGCCCTGCGCCAGGGCGAAACGTATGAATCGACGTAAGGTCCGACAGCCGGGAGCATTTCTGATAGTTGGATTCTGTCAGACCACGCGAAGTCAGGGAGGCCGGGTGCAGGGCGCCGTGAGCCTAGTAAGAACGAGCGGTGTGAAGGAGGGCGAAGTGCGAATGCGACGGGGAGGTCAGAGTAGGGAGGAGGGTGGACGAACCCGGATGGGTCAGCGCGTTGGGTGCACTAAGCGATAGAAAGATGGTTGCGGAGGGGGGCGAGCACGACAGAGTTGGAAAACCGCTGACCACGTTCGTTCCTTGACGAAAACGAATGACTGAGGGCATATCTCTGGTGTTTTTGGAGCGGGCGATCTCAATGATGAGGTTAGTTTCGGTGATAAGGTAGCATGTTGGGAGGTCAGCGGAGAAAGTAGTGCTCGAAGTACAGCTATGGCGGAGCAGCGAAGGGACATGGTGAAGACAGAGAGTTGAGATTTCACCGATGCCGGTAGGGATCGGGCGAAATGACATGGTGAACGAGGCTTTTTGAAGTATTGCGAATCTAACGAAGGGGATCGGATTCAGGGAAGGAGAGTTAGTTCTTGGGTTATAAAGAAGAAAAGTTAAGCGGAGAGAGAGGGGTTAAGCGGAGGAAGACAGTGAACCCTTCCAAGTTTAGCAAAAAACTCACTTCCAACTGCTATACCATAGGATGCGGAACGGCGGGCTGGACTAATCTCCGATAAGGGTCCAGAGCTGGAACGTAGGTGCTGTCTCCATCACGGTGGCCCATGGCCGCAACACCTATCGAAGACGGCTCGTACCGTCCGTCTCCGCGATCATGATCTACATATCACGGACTAGGCAGCCGTACGTTTGTTCGCAATCCCCTCAGACGCTATTGGGTGATGTCGTTGGGCATGCCTGCCTTCGAGGATCCTACGGTCGCCCACCGTGCCTTCTACTCATCTCCGCCCTGTTGAAGATTCTTCCGCCGACTTTAAAGCTTGCTCGCGTCCGATTGGAACTGTTAGAGTTGCGTGAACTTAGTCGAAAGGCCGATCGAGTGCATGAGAGGGAAGAAGGACGATGGAGTGGTAGGTGGGGAGAATAGATGAGTGTAGTGGTGAAGGCGTGTTGGAAGGCGGGACAGTAGGTTTGGTGACACAAAGCGTAGAGGCAGCACGGGAGGGGCGGCTTCGAAGTGGGCGGTGTGTAACTCCGCGTTTTTTGTCAGCGGAAGGTTCACACATTATTACTCATCCCAACGGCGGGAGGAGCGAGAAGGCCAAGGGGGTCGGGGGCTTATCTGTGATCAGGGGCGCCGCTTGTCTCGACAAATTCAGACAACAGGGAAACGAGCTACAAGCTTGGAGGGCTAGCTCGCCAACCGGGACACTGTTCTGTTCGACAAGGCAGGCAGCAACAGCTAGCTGAGGACAGTATAAATTGTCTGCGGGGTAAGGAGAAGTGTTGCGCAGAATATTAAGCGGAGTAACTGTCGGCAAGCAGCAGGGTTCAGAGGCCATCCGCTGGCCAATACGTTGCATGTTCCACCATATAGGATGGTGAGACCCTAGCCTAGTGCACAGCCAAGTGCGTACGTTCGGCTTGCTGTATAGCAGGCCGGATTACCTTGCGGCAGTACCATTTGTGGGTGGAAGGTTCATCCCAGCGTTGCAAGTTTGATTCGGTCAGGGTAGCGGAAAAGTAACTACGGGGGCCGGAGGCTTACCTGCTGAGATTGCTGCTGGCCGCACAATCTGCTGCTGCATACTGTGCACAGACTACTGCTGCGAGTTGCTCTTGGTTGTGTACGGATTGCTACTGCGTATTGTGCACAAGCTGCTGCTGCCGCAGACTGAGTGCGGATTGTTACTGTTGTTGCTGGCCACCGCTGTATGCTGCTGCTAGTGCCTACTGTTGATTACTGCATACTGCTGCGTACAACTACGAGCTGCTGAAAACTGTTGTTGTTGGCGACTGCTGCTGTTGCCATTGACCACCGCTGAGTACTGC